TGAAATGAACACATATTCAAAGATTTGAGTTTCACAGTATCTTGGATAAGAGATTCCAACCCATGAACAATTTTGTTTGAAGAACTGTATCTCGAAAACAAACGTCACGGTGGTCGAGGACGGCGGAGATTTGCTCTGCAACACAATTTTTAAATTATTTTACAATACATCAAGTCTTCGGCCATCATTTGTCCTCCACCAAAGCTCGTCTCTTTCCACTTTACCACCACCTTATCAAATCTGAGGTCCCTATCCACTCGAGTTGTCTCACAATCTTCTTAGCAATTTAGTGATGAAATTCCTTTTCGAAATGCAACCTGATTTGATCCACACCCATGACTCCATCTTGCCTTAAATTGATCGATTGAAAGATATTCCAGAAAAGTCTTCGAAACCAGAAACCCTAATTTTTTTTTATCTTTTTCCCCAATTTGATTTTACCCATCAAGAGATAATGAGAAAAAAACTGTGTGCAGTTTTAGTTGCAAAAAATGACATAAAGTGGAAGAATGGTTGCAGTTTTTAACATAAATGAAACGAAGCGTCTTATATTTTGTTTGAGATTTAAATGTCGTTCACACTTGCCATGTCATCGATATATTTAACCGTTATATTGCGGGTTGACTTTAACTTCACGGGTTGACCTGCATTTAATTGATTTCAAAGATAAAATTGTAAAATCTAACCACTTAGAAAGTTATTTTACAATAAACCCAAAAAAAAATGATTTATTAATATCTTCTTCTGGCAACGACTATACTTAATACCCTAACATAATATATAGAATGGTTATTTTGCCAATTACAATATAAAGTGTTGCTATCAAATGTAAATATTTTAAATTATATATCAAAATTGTATATACATAAATAGTTGTTCATATTTTAAGAAACATTTATAGAGTTAATTTATGCCACTTGCATATGTCATCTTTAGAATGTGAATGGTAAATGTTAATTAGAGTAATAGAGAGTAATTTAAACTTTACTTTAACGGTGACTTTGAGATCGATTAGCTAACCAAACATTTTTCGCAATCTGATTAAGAACTCTCCGTGTG